TGAGGCTGCGGCTCCGGGTCAGGCTGCGACTTCGGGACGGGCTGAGGGACCAGCTGCTGCGGCTGCGGCTACTGCTGTGGTGCCGGGGGCCCCGGCCACCCCGCCTGTACCGATCCCCTGAGCGGGAGCGGCTCCTGGGAGGGCAGCAGGGCAGCAGGGGGGCCATGAGGCTCCTGGGACCCCATTTACAAATCCCCTGCCCCGGCACCGAATCTAGTCTTTCTGCAAGAAAGGCCCTGTGGTCGTTCTGTCTCTGCTTCTGTCCTGCTACTTTCCCTCAGAAACCCTTCCTGGCCTCCTGCAGCCTCTACACAGAGACTGCCCCCTAGACACACTGACCCTCAAACAGCTCTTCACTTACTCACCAGACACCCGTTCACCCACTTCCCTGGCTGGTGGGCTCCGCCCACTTTATACGTTGCACCCAGCCAGGGCACACAGGAGCCATAACCTCACCTACAACCTCACCACCTCCAGGGGCTCACCACCAGCGGGGAGCACCCCCACACCCCCTCTCCCCGACCAGACTGCAGCACAGACCCACAGGACCCAGTCTGGGGACATATCAGCCTTGACCTCAGAGATGTGACCAGGGCCCCCGTCCCTCCCTCAGCCTTTCTCCTGCTTCCAGGTCAGGCTTCAGGAACGACCTGGAAGCCACACCTATGTCACACATTAATTCCAGTGGGACTGTTCTGGGTTTCAGTAAAATTCAAATTTGTTGCTAATATTGAAGAAACCAGAGCCACCCTTTAAAAATTCAGACTCAATTCTTCTTGAAAAACTAGGCAACACCAGGCCTATCACTGACTGGCCAATGACCCCGAAGGACAGGACGTGTGCCCTCAGTTCAGCAAGGCCCACCTGGCCCCTCTATTTCAGACCCCACAGGTAGCTGGCAGCAAGACCCACACAACAGTAACATAGGTAATGACACTGACGGGAATAAAAGTACTCGTTGAATGCTAGGCCTTGTACTGGGCCCTTATGTGGAAGTTACTTGTTAGAACTTCACAACTCAGCGGAGGGGATACTATCATCTCTTTCCCAGATGAAGTAACAGGCCCCGAGAATTCACTAGCAAGGCCAGAATCTACACCCAGCCATGCTGCCTTTCCAGGGCACCCTGACCCCCTCCCCTGCGGAACGGGACCAGAAGGATGCTCCCATCTCTAGAGGACTTTACATCCTACCTTGTCTGCAGCACTCGCCTTACACCTTGTCTCCTCCTCAAAGGGCTGCCTTGACTTTCTGCCCCTCCCACACAGCGGCCCCAGTCCTAAGGGTCACCCACTGCAAACACATAGGAACTCCCTCTGAGAGGACTCCTGCCCTACTGTCCCTGAGAACGGCAGCTGTGCTCTGGCCCTGGTACCACACTTGGAACTCCCTGAGTGGAAACATGTCCCCCTGCAATCCAGGGCCACCCCTCAGACACTGGTCTCCCTGAGATGGGGCCCACACCCACTCTCAGGCCCTGCGCCCCAAGTACACCCAGCCCCACGCACCTGCTTCTGCGCCGGGGCCCGTAACCGCCACGCCGGGCAGGCGAGCGGGAGTAGCGGTGTCCGTCTCGGGAGCCCCCACCTGAATGCCGCCGGCCACGGCTGCG